AGAGAGAGAGAAAGAGAGAGAGAGAAAGAGATAGGGTCTCTATGTAGTTCAAGCTGGCCTTGAACTCCCTATGATACTCCTGCCTCAGCCTCCCAAGTGCTAGATGCCAGCATGTGCTGCTAAAAGAACTATTTCAATATGATCCTCCTCTCTTATTGTGAGATCACATTCAAGCACCCTTAGTGATTGTCTGAAATGTGGGATATTATCTAATTCTATGTAAACTGGTGTTTCCTTATCTACAGTACATACTTGTAATAATGTTTCATTTCTAGTTAGACACAGTAAGAGAACAATTGGTAATGAAATAAAACAATTACAGCAAAGTGGGTGGTACATGGCTACCGTCCTAGCACTTGGGAGGCTGAGGCAGGAGGACTGCTGCAGATCTGAGGCCACCTGGGCTACACAGTAAGTTGAAGTTTAGCTTGACCTAATAACAAGAACTTGTTTCAAAAACAATTACAAGGGGCTGGGGAGATGGCTCAGTAGAATAAGCGCTTCCCTGGCAAGTACAAGGGCCTGAGTTCAATCCCCAGTTCTGAAAAAAAAATTATAATATATACACAAGATATTTAGGATGGATATATAGCTACTTTCTCTTAGTTTATTGAGAAGAAAGGTTTGTACTAATATTACTTAGACAAAATATCATGTCTGTATCCTGTCCTCTGAATAACTACTTACAAAGACAACAATATGCAATGCATTAATTATTGTAACTGCCCTACTAACCTGTTTTGAAACTGTTTCATTGCTATTTTATCTTTTTTCTCATCAAAATGAATAAAAAATAAAATTAAAAAACAATTACAATATTATAATGCTATTTAAAACTCAGTAATTTCATATTTGTGGGATTCTTCTTTTTCCTTTAATTTTTTGGTGGTACCAGGGATTGAACTTAGGACCTTGTGCTTGCTGGGCAAGCACTTATTCCATTGAGCTATCTCCCCAGCCCAAGGATTTTTCTATCTTATATTTTCTAACCACTGTTGACCATATGTTACCAAAACCAAAGGGGGATTGGTTTATGTGTTACTGCTTCACCAAATTTGAAGCAGAGCTCCATTAGTTCAGTGGTGCCAAACCTGTGGCACGTCTGCCACACCCAGCAGTTTCTTATCATTGAAAGCTGGAAGAGGTTTGTCCCCCACCTCCCCTCACTGGACACTTCTTTTGTTCCGTGGTCACTGAAAGATCTTCCACAGTGAGCTGCAGTTGGTGGGTGGGCTTCTGTGGAGGGCTTAAGACTGCTGCTTTGCTCCCAATTTTTTTGTCAAGTAAGTAACCAGCACAGCTTGGATTGAAAAATAAGTCGTCTGATTCCACTTCTCAATAAGAGGAGAAGCAGATTTTATGGCTCCTTTTTATACAGGATACTATAATAAGGAAAACCAGTCAGTGGGGAATGTCTTTGAAGGAAGATGAAGAAATATGACAGAAAAGTCAACAGAGCAGAAACCAAACAGTGTTGTTTGGAGTCTGAGGAATCAGGAGAGAGAAACCCCTGAGGTTCTTGCAATCTGCTCATTCATTTCTGCTGCTGTCGAAGGGCCTCCAGGTTGCCATGGCTACCGAGCAAGTGCTAGTCCATGTGCTCCCACTTCCCTGATGCTCTCTAGTTGGAGGTAGCTACATTAACTATACACATTATGGTAAATCTGAAGGAAGTTGTTCAAAAAGTACAAATAAAGCCCATGAGGCTAATGGCCTTTCCACTCCCACTGAGCACTCCTCTCTTAGCTTCTGATCACAGGCTGGCCCTTCCCTGGTCAGAGTTCATCTCTTCCAGGAAGTTGCTCTTGTTCCCATCTATAGCACCTGTGCTTTCTTCCTCAGTCTAATAGAGCATTTTAACAGATCTGCCTTGCGCTTGGTGGCCTGTTGTTTTTCTCTGTCTCTGCAGACAATGAATCCTTGAGAAAAAGCCACGTTTTGTATACTTTTCACAGGTATTAGCACTATCCTCTTCACTAGATAGGTGCTTAACAGAGCTTTACTCGATCTGAATGAATTCACATGTACACAATGTAAGTGTGAAATACAAATGCCTCTGTTGCCAGATTTGGGGGTATGGGGACTCATTCTATAGGGGTTTTCTAGGTTCTTGTCCTGAAGAAAGAATTGGACAAAACAAATACAAAAGGTAATGAGATTTTACATTTACTAATAGTAGAAAAACAAATGCACTCTGCAGAGGGCGTGGACCAATTAAAGTAGGGAAAAAAAAGTTTCACATGGTGGCACAGGTCTGGAATTTCAAAACTGGGGAGTCTGAGGAAGGAGGATTCCCACAAGTTGAAGGCCAGCCTGGGCTACACAGTGAGTATAAGTTCAGCTTGGACTACATAGTGAGTCCCTGTCTTAAAAAAACTAAAATTTTGTGTGGAGTTGCTATTTGTGAATCATATTTCAGACTGAAAAAGGAAGCCTCAATGATTTCTTGTCAAAGGAGTTTGTCCTAGTTTAGGTCGCTAAAAAAGTTACCACACGTTGAGTGGCTTACAGAACAAACACTTATTTCTCACAGCACTGGAGGCTGAAAGGGTAAGAGACCAGGGTGCAGTGTGGTACGGTTTTGCTGAGGGCCCAAGTCCTCTGGTTTCCATGGCTGGCTTACTGTATCCTCCCAAGCAGAGGCAAAAAGAGAGCTAGAGAGTTAGCTCTGTCCTTGTGAGGTCATTAAGTCCTGTCATGGGGGCTCCCCCCTCATGACCTCCTTGCTTCCCAGAGATCCACCCCCAAACACCGTGACATGGGTATACAAATCTGTAATGCACCGGAGGGAGTGTGGACTGGTGGGGCGGGTGGTGACAGGTGTGCAAGGAAGGACTCAGTTTCCCTGCACAGTCTCAAGGGTCTCTGCCTACAAGATGATCTGTTGTACTGGGGAAGCCTGGCTCCCTCATGCTACCTGGGCCTGCTCTTCATGGAACACCACTAGGATTACGACCCTGATTAGGATTATCACTTGTCTTGTGAGAGCCTGCTTCCACCCCCGGGACTCTGGTCCCTGTAACCCAAGTTATTTTTATTTTTGTCCGTGCCATCCACCCAAGGCATCACTTGGGGACACAACCCCGCTGCCAGGAGTTCCCCACAGACCGCCCGTGCCCATTCCCCAGGGCTCTAAAGGCTTTGAAGCCCACGGGTTCCTCTTCAGCAGGCTGCAAGCACTGCGCTGCCCTTTCTGCTTATCCAAGAAGCTTTGGCAGGAATTAAAGAATCCCATACCTTGGACACCAGAGAGAAAAGTGTAGGGAGAGGCAGCGAAGGGAAAGACTTCTCGGTCAAGTGTGCAGAGATGGAGAAAGGGGGCGAAATTTCCTAAGGGCAAGTGAATGTCCCAGAGGAAAAAGCCTTGGAGTAGGGCGAAGAGGACCAGGGAAGACAAAGAGGACTTTGACCTGCGGTCTAGGAAGAAGCTGCACGCCGGGGAGTCTCCGCCCGCCCAGCCCTCCCATCCCCCCCGCACCCCCCCCCTCCGCGGTCCCTTCCGGGCTTCCACCCTTCAGCGCAGCGAACCCGACCGACTGCGCTTCCAGCTGCTGAACCCAGCCGCCCCCGCGGGCGGGCGTCTTCCGCGGGACCCAGCAGGTAGAACTTGCCCAGGCCCGGAGCCGGGCGGGTGCGGGGCCGCTGGGGGTCGCCCGCCCTGCGCTTCCTGCGTCATGGGAGGGTATAGGCTGGGAGAGGGGATCCGGTGGGAAGGGCGGGGCGGAGCTGAGCCCCGCAGCCTCCCCGCGGAGTGGGGTGACCGCGGCCGGAACTCCGGGCTCCGCAGTCCAGAAGAGTGCGGAGGGTGGTTCTGCTTGCCTAACGCTCAAGAAGCAGGCTGTGGTGGAGGCGGAGGCACGAATGCAGAAGTGCTCGCAAGTGTCCGAAACCTCGCGTGGCCGCCGGCGGTGGCCACCTGTGGGGCAGAACGGGAGATGGAGGACTTTGAGGTGTGGTCCGGGAATCTCGCTCCGCAGACCCGGGCTGAAAAGCAGAGACCCGATAGCTCTGTGGACGTGGGCGCCAAGGCCATTTGCTGTTTAACACTGGATTATAAGATTTCTGAGATTGCTCATTTCTTTGGGGCGGAGCTCATACTGGGCAAAGTCAGTAGGGAAGTGTACAGGGCACGGACGCCATCGTTCTGCTTCCGGTACTGGAGATTGAACCTAGGGGCATCTATTATTGACCTATTATTTATTTATTTATTTTAATTTTGGTGCTGGGAATCCAACTCAGGACCCCTTACTTGCCAGGCAGAATGTTGCTTATTTGTCTAGGACTCAGACCTGCGATTCTTGTGCCTCAGCTTGTAGACTGGTCGCAGAAACAATCAAGGTGTTTAAAGCATAACTCATAACATTGCCCAGGTCGGGCTGGAACTTGCCGCCCTCCTGCCTCAGCCTCCAGAGGGCTGGGATTGCATCAGGTGTGCTCCACCACGCCTGCTAGGCCATGATGCTTGATGTGTTTGGCTACATTGGTGTCCTGTGCTTTAGTTTTTCTTTCTGGTCCTGGATTGTTACTTTATCAAGTTGTCTTGAAACTCTTCTACATTCTTGTCCCAAAGCTTATTCATATAGTAAGATTTAAGTGGTTTACTTACTAGTGTTATGCCTAAAACATTTAAATGGGAGTGAGAGATATGCAAATAAATAAGTCAATACATTCATAATGGCCTTGTCTCAATTATTTCCTGGGACAAAATATCTGACACCCAAAATATCTGGCTGCCTTCTAGGCAGAGTGGCACATGGGAGAGAGCAGCAGTTTATGGCAGCAGATAAAGCTCCTCCAAGGAAGTGGTGCTGCAAAGCTGGGAATTCCTCCAAGAATGAGGCAAGCAAAAGCCTTTTTCAACCCCTTGATATGCCCTTTTTGTGCTGAGTCACTCTAGGGTGGCCCCGGCCCACCCAGCCCTAGGGTAAGCCGGCCCACCAGGGTGTGGAAATACCAAGCCTATCCAGCCAAGCTTCCCACATCTCAAGTTGGCCCAACCACCACAGTCTACCCCTTGCCCACTTGGTAACTAGACACATTTTTTACAAATTAGTCTCCATATGTAAAGACATGTTTATAAACATTTTATAACTTTAACATTATAACAAAGCTTTAATAATCTTTATGGATCACTATTAAGTCTTATCAACATTATAGTATATGAGAACCATAACATTTTGGCCCTGACTCCCCAGAGACTTATGTATATCTCTGTATGTAAAAGGCACTTTAGTCTATTTGCAAGAGTTGTTAAAGTTATAACAGCTTTAGTATTGTTGAAAAGTCTGAGTCTTAAGATCTAAGGTAAACTCTTAGCTGTGAGCCCCTGTACAAATAAAAAGTTAAGATTTAAAGGCCCTTAAGATTTAAAGGCACAAGGCAAACATTGCTGTTTTAAAAGTTATGCATAGGAGGGCTGGGGAGATGGCTCAGTGGAATAAGCGCTTCCCTGGCAAGCGCAAGGGCCTGAGTTCAATCCCCGGTTCCGCCTATATATATATATATATATATGTGTGTTATACATAGGAGGATATGAACTATTAGGACCAAAACAAGTCTAAAATTTAGAAAGACAAGCATTAAGTCTTGTAGTTCCATGTGGAACATCCAAAGCAACCTGCAGTGAGTTGTGAATTCCAAAAGCCTTATATGGCTCTACGCCTGCAGCCCCCGTGGCTCTTCTCTGGAACTGGCTTTGCTCTCTCCTTGTAGCTTTCCTTAGACAATTTGTTTTTAGCTCTTTTAAACTTTTGAGCCTTTTATTGAACAGGGCTTTTTACTAATAGCTTTATGTATTGCCCTCTCAGGAGCACATGGTCTAGCCTTCTAGGTATTTTGAAATCTAAGTAGAAGCCTTTTTAACCTCAGAACTCTTGCATTTTCTATGTCCCTAAAACCAATGTCATGTGGATGATGCCAACTACTGCTGCCAGCTGGAGCAGTAGCCAAGTACCCCCCCCCCCTTGGCTATAGGGGTCAAGTGCCTGGATTACTGAGCACTCTGACCCTGATTTTTTTTTTTTTAATTTTATTTGTGTGTGTGTGTGTGGGGGGGCCAGCTCAGCCCACCAGGGGGCAGGACTGACTGGAATGTGGTGCTGGGGGATTGAACCGCAGTCCCTGTGCTTTGCTAAGCTTGTTCTAAGTAGGTGCTTTAGACCACTGAGCCATCTCATCAGCCCCCTGACCCTGATTTTGAGGAAAAAATTTTTATGCCAGCGTTATTTTGGAATCTGGTGTGGCCACTGCCTCTATTTTGGAACATGGGGCTCTGTAGCTTTTTCTCAAAGCAGAGTCCCTCACCCTTGCATTTATGAGACTGCAAAGGGTGAGAAAATTCTACTTCCTGTGATGCCTTCAGGACATCTTTTTTATTTTCCTTTCTCTTGGGCAATGGAGATTTCAGCTCTATCTTTCCAGTCCACAGCCTTCCTGGTGCTTTCTTTTTTTTCTTTTACTTTTTCTTTTTATTTTTTCCCATAATTTTATTGATAAACAACTAGCAATGAGACAGTTTCAAATCAAATTGGTAGGACAGTTTCAGTAATTAACACAATGCATACATTCTTCCTAGTGGTTAATTGCTGTACAAGATGCGGACATATCCTATTTACAAACACCATTAGAACAAATCACTCTATTCATTAAGAGAATGTAACTATATATCTATCCTAACCACTTTGAATACACAGATACAAAATGGACATTCATCTGTATCCCCTTCTTTCTTGTTAAGTTTCATTATTTGAATATTATAGGTGTGTAAATTCAGCAAAATATTCTAAAAGAGTCCACTAGCCCATAATAGTATGGGGTCTTCCGCTTGACTGGCAGTGTCAGATCTGGTGCTTTCTTTTTGATCAAACTCACAACATTTTAAATCATCCTGCTGGGCTCTTTGTTCTTGACTCTCAACATATATTTGACTAAAAGCCCCCAACAAAAGCCATGCCACTGCCTCAATATTTGACTACCTTGAGTTTTTTTTTTTAATTAACTAGTTTGCTGTGTTTAATCTCAGTCTCAGTCAAAGTCTCTGGACAGGAGCAAAATGCAGACAAACTTTTTGCCAAGCCATAATACAAATCTTCTGCAGTCCAACAACCAGTGCAGTCCTTCATCCCAGCAGAAACCTCCACAGCCTCGTCTTTATTGGTAGGCTTTCTATCAGCATTATGGTCTTCTGAGCTCTGAATAGAATCTCCCATACTGAAGAACTGAAGGCATTCCAGCTCTTCACCATTCCCTTGGGGAAAGGATCTTAATGTATAGTTCACAGAAGTCTTGGGAAGTCCAAGAATGCTGTGCCATTGACCTCCTGAAAGCTGAGTGCCAAGCAGTATATAGGCCGACTCCCCGGCCCCTCTGACAGAGCTTCTTTGCTCTACCAGATTGGCAAAAGCCTCTACATTGTACCAACTAGGAGCTGTAGAAACCATGATGAAGACAGCCATAAGGATTGTGCCCCAGGAACTTACAGTCTAGTGGGCCAAAGGACAGGCAGGGGACGTGTCGTGTGGTGAAGGAATTAGAAGCATGGGAAGACCCTGGAGAGCACACCTACCCTGAAGTGGCTCTGTGTGTGCCAGAGGCTCCTAGTGAGCAATGTGAGCCAGAAGAAAGTACACTGACCTTGTCTTGGGAAGCAAGGTGGGGTGGGGGGCACGCTTTGGGGGAGGGGAGGAGCATTGCAGGCATGTGCCCTGGGAAAGGCTGGAGTCAGGAGAAGCCTCAGCAGTTCTGGATTGAGGCTTAGTGCTCTGAGTTGGACTGGGATAGGTGTCAGTCTGCCGTGAGACTGGGAGGTGATCAGAAGTGGGTTGTGGTGTGATGTGGGGATGTGGGTGGGAGGGAGACAAAGGTGCCTTGAAGGAGTTTTATTTCTGTAGGAGAGACTGAGACTGAGTTCACAAATAAGCAAACAGGGTGTTTTTAAAATTTTGATAAATATAGTAAACATGGGGCTGGTGAGATGGCTCAGTGGTCTAAAGCACCTACTTAGAACAAGCTTAGCAAAGCACAGGGACCACAGTTCAATCCCCCAGCACCACATGCCAGCCGGCCCTGCCCCCTGGTGGGCTGAGCTGGCCACACACACACACACAAATAAATAAATAAATTTAAAAAAATAAAAATAAATATCGTAAACAGAAAGTTTACTATCTGATTTATAAATGGTTTCTGGGGTGGTCCTGGGAGAGCTGTTCAGGCAGATATGCATAGAGCAGATCTTGTTTATTTTTGAGACAGGGTCTCGCTATGCAATTTAGGGTAACCTAGAGCTTGCTTTGTAGCCCAGGTTGGTCTTCAACTTGGAATGATCTTCCTGCCTCAGCCTCAGCCTCCTGAGTGTTTGGATTACAGGTGTGTGTCACCATCCCCAGCTGCATACACCAAGTCAGCAGTCATCTGGATTAGAGGATTCTACAAAGTGGGGGCTTTGTGTATGTGTCCTTTCACATCCTTTCCTTCTCCAGGTATTCCCTTTATCGAAAACTTGCTCACAAGCTTTTTGTCTTGCCCCCTTTTAACCCTCTTCCTCAGAATCCTCCCGATGAACGCAATCCTGAAAACAATGACCACTGGTCCTTTGCTCTGTGCAGGTTGCTGGCATCACCAGCAGGGATAAAGGAAAGATCCCTTCCCTGTGTGTGGAGGCTCCCCCTGCAGGCCACCGCCTGTGCTCACCACGGGTCTGTCTACTTCTAGGTGCCTTGGAGTTGGCTGCAGCCATGGAGAAAGGCCCCTGGCCTGTGTCTGCCCACCCAGACGTCCTCTCCTTGGAGAACCGGAGCCTGGCTATGCTTCCTAACTGGCAGCCTGTGGACAAGCCTCCTGGGTATACATCTGCTCCCTCAGACATGCTGTCCTTGAAGAGCCAGTGCCTGACCAGAATTTCTGACCTGAAGACCATGGGAAAACCACATGGGCCTGTGTCTGCCCGCCCAGATGTCCTGTCCTTGGAAAACCGGAGCCTGAGTTCCCTCCCGAGTGTAAAGAGCAGCGTGTCTGCGGGCCCCTCGGGCCAGTGTCTCCAGCTACCTCACCCGATGCGTGCTAACACAAGCAGCCTGCACACCAGCACAGGCCTGCTGTCTGAGGCTCCCAGCAGCAGGAGGGTCCAGTGTCTGTCTGCTGCAGAGACAGTTCAGGTAGTGCCTTCGGTAGAGGTCCATGACACTCATCTTGACTCCAAACTTGTCTGTTGCATGCTATTGTCTGTAGCCTCAATTGGCCTCAGTTTGCCTCTTTGTGGCTTTGTGTCTGTGTAGCCTCTCTCCTCAGCACCCCTTTACCCTATAGCCATCTTCCTCCACATCACTTTTGCTCTAGTTCAGAATTCCACAAAACAGATCAAATGTAGCCCTCGGTCATGAAAGCCTGGGAACCCTTTGAGGCCTTAATTTCTTTGCTTCTAAACGGAGTCTCTGAAAATACTCTTTAGAGCTGTAGTCAGGCTCACAGCAGCGCTTTAGAGCTGTGCCATCACAGTCACGTGAGTGTGTTACTCCATTTCATTTTCCAGCAGCCCTAGCAGATGGGTGGTGGTGAACGGGAAAGCTGAGCTTCACAGTGGTGAAGTGGCTCAAAGCTGTTGAGCCTTGCTTGACTCAGGAGTGGCTGAGACATAGTAAGGACATGAACATAGGTAGGCAGATGTGGAAGCCACAGGGCAAAGGCTGAGAAAGGGATGTTGAGGAGGGAGTACTGAGTGGGTCAGAGTACTAGATGGGTCAGAGCTGGTGCATCCTGGGGTGTGGAGAGGAGTTTACAGATGTTGCTTGGAGGTGTAAACCTTCCTGATCTTCAGATCAACCCATGCTTGAAGGGCCACGGGCTCCTGCTGACTGTAACTGCCACTATCCCCAGGGTCATCTGTGCTGTTCCAAAGAAGAGAAAACGTCAGCACTGAAGGAAGGGGAAGGGGCCCAGATGCCTTTTTATAGTCTAAGCTTGGGGGAAGAGGAGGAGGAGGAAGAAGAACTGAATGCACAGCTTTCCTCTGAGGACTTGGACTCAAATCCTTATTCCACTGACCAGTACCTGCAGGAAAAGAAGGTGATACTTCTAGAGTTGGGTAGAGGTTGGTCTTGGTGGGAATGAGTCCAGGGGAGGGGTGGACTCCTGAACCAGATCTCTTCTCCAGATGGAAGGGGAGGCAGCCGACAAGGCCCAGCTGTCATTTCTCATTCCTTAATCCCTTTTGCTTTTTTTGTTTTGATATTTTTGAGAAAGGATCATGCATTGTAGTTGGAGCTGGTTTTTTTTTTTTTTTTCCAGAACCGGGGATTGAACTCAGATCCTTGCGTTTGCCAGTCAAGTGCTTATCCTACTGAGCCATCTCCCCGGCCCCTGGAGCTGGTCTTTAACTTACGGCGATCTTCCTGTGCATCTGTTACCTCTTTTTTTCCCCTCTCATATTTCTCCTAGATGATTCTGGTGAACACACTGTGCTCTACTATGGTCTCAGATATAAACAGGAAAAGTACAGCTGCTATCATCAGTCCCATCCTTGAAGTCTGTGATATTATTGCCCCCTTGGAGCCTGAGTTCATCCTCAAGGTATTAGGGGTGAGGGAGAGGTGGGTATAGGTCTCTGGGAGACAGGAATGTGCTCCCAGTGTGTTAGCAGGTGCTGCCTAGGCTTGGTTGTGAGTGGAAGGAATTTCCCATAGGAGGGTACAAGGACTGGTGGTGAGTCTAAGTCCTCATCCCTACAGTTCTGTGAGGAGGAGAAAAGACAAGGTCGGGAAAGTATACGAGACTGGGTTTGCTTTGTAACCCAGGCTCAGCGTGCCAACAGTGCTGCTAACAGATGAGCTGGCTTGCAGTGAGCTTGGAGTGTTGGTAGGAGGGCAGAGCACTTTCCAGAATATCATGTCAAAGCAGATGGTTCCAGATAATGTTTGAAAAGCAGAGAACAGGGAGGGTGTTTTCTGGGAGGGTGTAGAAGGTGGCAGGTTCGACCAGGGATTAAAATCTTTGACAAGATTGATGCCCACTGGTAGGAGTGACCCTCTAAGGAAAGAAAGGGCAGGGTTGACTTGGAGGGCATTCGGCAGAGTCAGGGGAAGATAAGCTACAGAGTAGGATAAGGGAGAGACCAGCGATGGCGAACCTGTGTTTCCAGGGGACCATGTGCCTTACTGAAAGCTCTCAAAGGCTCCCCCTCACTGGGCCAGACTGTGCAAGATCTAGAATGCCAGCCTAGGGGACACGATTCTATTTTGCAATATAGAGAGCTAGGAAAGGGTTTTATGTGGGCACACTCAAGCCTTGGTTCAGAGCAGGCAGCTACAGCAGCGGTGGCTGAGATGCTCACCCCGTGTTCTAGGCATCTTTGTACGCCAGGCAGCAGCTGAACCTCCGGGATGTGGCCAACATGGTCCTGGCCATTGCCGCCTACTTGCCCGCCTGCCGTCCCCACGTGCGTCGCTATTTCTGTGCCATCGTCCACTTGCCTTCCGACTGGATCCAGGTCGCGGAGTTCTACCAGGTGAGGCGCTCACTTCCCGAGCACGGACCTCCCCAGCTTGCCTCTCTGCTGCTGTTGAGTCTCTGGAGCAAACTCTCAGCCAAGTCGGCCTCCCCTCAGCCACGTAGCCTGGTGCCCACAGGGGGCAGCTTCTCCTGGAGCAGGCTGGGCTGCCTGCAGGAGGGTAGGATGGGAGCACCACTTGAGAAACTGAGGAAAATGAAAATCAGAGAAGATCGCTCACCTGCCAAATAGCACAGAAATTTCTTTTTCTCTCCTGTCTTCTCTTTTCCTCTTTTATTTCCCTTTTCTCTCTTTTCTATTCTATTTTCTTTTCAGTGTGTGTACGTGTGTATGTGAAAAAGAGTATGTGCACGGGTGTTCCTTGGGATAAGAAATGTCACCTTGGGGAGCACCATGCTGGTACCCCTGGGAAATATTCCTTATAAAATTCCTGGGGTACCTTTTGGAACTTCTCCCCTTTTTTGGTGCCACCCTTGCTGGAAGTTTTTTCCCAACATTGGTCATTGCCACCTCCTAAAAAAAAAAAAAAAAAAACAAAAAACCTTCCTCTTTTTTGGAGATACACTCCTGATGGCTGCCTCTTCTAGTTCACTAGCTGTTTCATTTTTTGAACCCAAGACCTTTGCACTGAGGTACCTCCCACATGCTGTTTCAATTTTTATTTTGAGCCAGCGTCTCTCAAAGTCATTTAGTAGCCCAGGCTGATTTTCAACTTGTGATCTTTCTGTCCGAGCTTCCTAGATTGCTGGGATTACAGGTGTGTGCCTGCATGCCTGGGTTTTCTCTACCTCTTTTAAATTTTTAAATTTTGTTGACAGTGTCTTCCTAAGTTGTTCAGGGTAGGCTCCAGCATACAGTCCTCCTGTTTTAGTCTGCCAACGTGCAGAGATTGCAGGTGTGCTTCCAGACCTGGCCAGAAATTGTGACCCTGAGCTGGAGATTGGAACTTGCTCGCTCTCCATACTTTCTAGTAACCACATGGTCTTGTTTTAGTTTGGAGGATTTCATTGGGTCTCACCACTGATCAAATATCTCATTCTCTCTCTCTCTCTCTCTCTCTCTCTCTCTCTCTCTCTCTCTCTCTGTCTCTGTCTCTGTCTCTGTCTCTGTCTCTGTCTCTGTCTCTGTCTCTCTCAGGAACTGGCTAAAACAGAGGAAGATAAACTGGCACCACTTCCTGCCTGCCTCCGGGCTGCTATGACTGACAAGTTCGCTCAGTTCGATGAGTACCAACTGGCTAAGTACAACCTGCGCAGGCACCGCGCCAAGAGTCGCCCCCGCCGGCCTCTTCAGCCTCCAGTCAGTCTCTGCCTCCCCCTGCTCACTCCTGGCCCAAAGCCACTCCTCAGGAAGGGGGAGACAGCAGCATGGTGGCCCCAGAAGTTCTGCACCAAGCACTTGACGTGTTCTCTGGCCAGGAGCTAGCACAAGGTCCAGGAATGCCGGGAGGAGCTTGGGGCAGTAGGAGCAGCTCAGGGTTTTTTCTAGCCAGCTTCCTTTCTCTCAGAGATGGGCCTTCAGTAGAATTCCCAGGGCTTCCCCAGGGACAGACTCCATTTCCCCGTGTGTAACTGCCTCTCCTGTTCCCCCAGGAGCGTCCATTTTCTGAGAGAAGACATTTTCCAAGTTACCTTTGGCCTATTAGAGACATACAGTTTAAGGTGAGTTCCTTAACCTGGGCCTGCTTATGTACAGATATACTTTTTTCTATATTTTTTTGACAGGTGATACAATTAGTGGGACAAATAAGTTACAAAAAGTGTGAAATAACTACCTTCCCTAGGCAATTTTATAAATGAACAAAATGATTTTTTTTTTAAATTAAAGATCTTTTATTTATTTGGTACAGGGTCTTGTTATGCAGCTCAGACTCAATAGATCCTTCTGTCTCAGCCTGCCCAGTGCTGGGATTATGGGCATGCGCCACCATGCCTAGCTCCAGTGGCCAGCACAGTGCACCCACGGTTCAGGGGCTGGCATGGCGTGCAGCACTGGGGATTGAACCTGGGTTCTTGCACTTGCCTTCAGGCACTAAGACCACTGGGCAATCTCCCCAGCTCAATCTTTTGTATCTGTATGACATCTACAACTTTTTACTTAGTGATTAAGAGGACAGAATCTTGATTCATATAATCCTTGGTTTGTATCTTACCTCCAAGGCTGTCGTCAACCCTTGGTCCAATGATTGAACATCTGTGTCTCATTTTGGTGGCAAAGATAGCAGAGCCTACGCTTTAAGGTTAGAAAGATAAATCAAGCGGAAAGGTATTTCTATTACTATTTGGTGTAAAAAGTGTGTGCTACTATCATTAAAGCACATTGGTAGGGCTAAGGAGATGGCTCAGTGGAATAAGTGCTTCCCTGGCAAGCACAAGGGCCTGAGTTCAATCCCTGGTTCCACCAAAACAAACAAACAACAACAACAACAACAACAACAACAACAACAAAACACAGTGGTAAGGAAACGTGTATTGCTATTACAAGAAACAACACATCTTGAGTTGGCCAGCTGCCCCTTTCTCCTCATCCTATTAATATAGGCCAAAGTCAGCTGTCCTGCCGTAGGAATGCTCTCAGTGTTCCCTCTTTCACAGCCTGCGCTGTGCCGCTGCCCCCAGCCCTTGTGCTCCTGCTTCTACCTCCTGAGCAGCACGCACTGCAGCTGTGCC